ACGCCACCAACTACGGATGCCGAAGGCACTTACTCACAATATGACAATAATGAGGAACTCGACCATCGATGACCAAATGACTATTAGAAGAATTCAAGAGGCCTGAACTCTTCAAATCAATCCGACATGGTTAACCGATGATGAATAAATGTATTTTCAAATAATTTTATAATGCATTTTTGGAAAACAATGTAATTTTAATTATAATAAACACATTTTAAAGTATATTTAAGTGACTCAATTACAAATTTCATAATGTATTAAATAAATCTATTATTAAAAAAAATTAAAAATTTTAGTTTTTTTTAATGGTTGGGACTAAGACCGACTCATCATAACTGGTTATACATAACCTTAATTGGGCTCACCATTTTCGACCAGGACCGGGACCGGTTATAGCCGGTATTATTGAGTCCGAGACCGGTTTTTAGACATCACTACCGTGAAAATTAGCCGATAAGATAAGTTAGAGCTACAAGTTTTTATCAGTAAACACTTATTTAATAAACAACTATTAATGATCTCAGGCAAAAGGCTAAAGCCAGGTGGACTCTCGAAGGTGATGAAAATTCTTGTTTCTTTCACGGTCTTCTTCGATGCAGATATAGTAAGTTAAATATTCATGGTATTGGTGTAAAAGGAAGATGGATTAGAGATCCGATAGAACTGAAGAAAGCAGCTTTTGCTTTCTTCAAAGAGAAATTTTCGGAAGATAAGGTGTGYCGGCCGTCTTATAAGAGCAACCATTTCAAAAGAATCTCGCTAAGTCAAATGGAGACGCTCGAGTTGCCTTTCACTATGGAGGAGGTTAAAATCGCTGTTTGGGGCTGCGGTAATGAGAAAGCGCCGGGGCCTGATGGTTATTCTTTTGCTTTCTTTAAAAAGTTTTGGGATGTCATTGGTGAAGATGTGTTCAAGGCGGTCAAGGCCTTCGAGGCCAATGCTGATATCGGAAGGGGATGCAATGCTTCGTTCATTACTCTTGTTCCARAGGTAAARGACCCTTTGTTGTTCAAAGACTATAGGCCGATTAATCTYATTGGTTGTRTTTGTAAAATTGTCTCCAAGTTGCTGGCGAATAGACTCAAAGGGGTGTTGGATTCGATTATCGGGAAGGAGCAGTCGGCTTTCATTAAGGGTCGTTGCATTCTGGATGGTCCGCTAATTGTTAACGAGTCTATTTCTTGGGCTAGGAAGGCAAAACGTAAAGTGTTAATTTTCAAAGCTGACTTTGAGAAGGCATTTGATAATTTGAACTGGGATTTTTTAGACGAGGTTATGTGGCAAATGGGTTTCAGTAWTACCTGGRGAAAGTKGATTCGAGGTATTCTATCTAATGCTAGCGTATCTATTCTTGTAAATGGAAGCCCTACGGAGGAGTTTATCATGGAAAAAGGTGTGCGCCAAGGTGACCCTCTTGCTCCTTTCCTTTTTATAATCGCTATGGAGGCTCTTAGGGTAGTTATGTATGAAGCTCGTATTAAAGGAGTTTTTAACGGGTTGACCCTCCCTAGAGGTGGCCCTATAATAGAGATTCTTCAATATGCTGATGACGCTCTATTTTTGGGGGAATGGTCAGTTTCGAATGGTCTAAATTTGATTCGTTTGCTAAGATGTTTTTATCTTTCATCGGGGTTGAAAATTAATTTGCAGAAAAGTTGTTTATATGGCATTGGCACGGGAATAGGTGAAGCGGAGTTGCTTGCTCAAAGAATGAATTGTAAGTTYTCTTCTATTCCGTTCCTTTATTTGGGTCTTCCGGTAGGCGCTCAGATGGGTAGAAGAAGTAATTGGAATAAGTTAGTGGATAAATTCCAAGAGAAACTCTCAGCCTGGAAGGCCAAATCTTTATCGTTTGGTGGTAGGAAGATTCTTTGTAAATCAGTGCTGGGAAGTTTGGGTGTTTATCTTTTCTCTCTTTTTAAAGTCCCGGAAAATGTTCTTAGCACTCTTGAAAGTCTTCGGAATCAATTCATTTGGGGCCGGACTGGTCAGAGCAGGAAAATGATCTKGRTTAGGTGGAAAGTTACTTGCAATTCAATGGATAAAGGTGGTATTGRTATAGGTAGTCTGAAGGCGCTCAATTGGAGTCTTCTTGCTAAGTGGTGGTCGCGGTTTTTAAATGAAGAAGGTAGTCTGTGGAAAGATTGCATAAAGGCGTTTCATGGGGCTAGTGGGGGGTATTTTTAGCGACGGTTGCAAAAAACCGGGTGTTTGGGGAGCTATTGCAAATTGGGACACTCTCATTCGGAAAGCTGGGTTGAATGTGAACAATTTCTGGTCGGTTGATGCTAATGGCAGACGTCGATGGGCTCTATCAGAGGACGGGGTTTTCTCGGTTAAATCGTGTCGGGGAAAAATCGAGGAAGGTGTTTTACTTTCTGATGGAAGGGTAACGAAGTGGAACAAATTAGTGCCAGGTAAAGTGAATATGCTTATCTGGCGTCTTTCAAAGTCTAGACTCCCCACTAGACTTAATCTTTCATTAAGAGGTGTTCGGGTGAGCTCTGTTCTATGTCCTTGCTGCCTAAGTCAGCCAGAAACGGAAGGTCATCTCTTGTTTGGTTGTTCGACTACTAAAGTGATTGGGGCGTATGTTAAGAATTGGTGGTCGGGTTTTCCTTGCCAAGCTACCAACTTGGCGGAGTTTTTTTTCTGCAGCTCAATTCCCCTACAAAGGGAAGAAGTGTAAGGAGGGTATGGAAGTAATTCTTATGGCGTTCATTTGGATGATTTGGACGAATCGAAATGCGTTGGTTTTCAATAAACCCGTTAAAAACCCGATGGTGATTTACAAGGATATTGTGCTCTTCTTTTTTAATTGGATTAGACTTAGATCGAAGTCTTGTAATTCCCTTGATTGGAATGTTTGGTGTATCAACCCTTTAGCGGCTCTTTTGCAATGTGCTAACCTCTTGCTAGCCTTGGTGGTTTTTTATAATATTGTTGTTTCTAAAAAATAAAAAAATAAACAAGATTATGATAATCATTTAATATTGTGATTCAGCATCAAATGATTATAGATTTATTTGAACAACGTAAACCGAACGGACGTATGATACACGCACATCAAGAAACCCAATTTACATATCCTTCTATTTATAAATGCATGCAGAAAAGTTGGACTTGACTACCTCCGATTCCATCCATTTTTAGAAGCAATTGTTGACTACCGAACCTTAATTAGGTCGTGGCAGCACAAGAATTAATGCATGTTACCGCAATATTTGAATACATCACTAACGGCTCGTTTATTAAAGACTTATCCGGTAAGTGTTTAATGGTAAATTTTAATATTATTATTTATTTACCGGGTAAGATTTTAATCCATTAAAACAACATCGTATACAACAATTTACCCGGTAAGCACTTACCATGGTAAGAGTTGTCGCTCTCACTTACCGAGTAAGATTCATGGTCCTTGTCTCGTTCTTACCGGGTAAGATTTCTGGTCCTTACCATATTCATCCAGTGAGGCAACATAACTTGGTAGACGCTTACCTGGGTAAGTGATTGATAAACGACGCCCAAGTTTGTTATATATTGTTGCTTAGGGTTGGCTGGTAGTGTTGGGTAGGGTAAAGGCTAGAGTAAGGGTTAATATATTATTTAATTTATTTAAAATAGTGGATAACAAAACGAGTAATTATATATATGATAGAACTTTTATCTAATCCATCGAGATAGCAGGTAACGAAACGAATAATGGATAAATAGTAAAAAAAATCGTTTTGAATTAAAATAATATTGTTAAACATCTATAAGTAAAATATTAGTTTATAAATATAATTTTCATTTATATCTAATTTCTTCAATAAACATTGTGATATTGTTTTATATATGTTATAATGTGCATGATAAAGATCTAACCAAAGGGCCTTTGGCCTAGCGGTATAATAGCCCTTGGCCTTCTAGGAGGTCAGGGGTTCAAATCTCACCATAGTTGAGGAGGATGTGTGAGTTTATTTGTTGCATTTGTTGTATATAAATATTATATACTTTAAAAAAAAAGATCTAAAGACAACATTTGTGTGTGTGTGTGTGTGTGTATATATATATATATATATATATATATATAAACGGGTAACAGGTAAATGGATAACGAAAAACACTTTATCCATACCCTATGGATAAAATTTTCTATACTCATACCCTTGTCCAACGGATCAAAACATAAGAAATAACGGGTTTACCCTAACCCATTAGGCATGGGAATGGGGCGGGGACCTCAATCCTCGTCCTTGTCCCCGATTACTTATCTCTTTCCCCATCCCTGTCCCCCTGATTACTTATCTCTTTTCCCATCCCTGTCCCCATTTCCCGTCGGGGAATATAATCACATTTCCATCCCCAACGGGAAAACGAGGATTTTTTTTCCGCTTATACAAGTTATTTTAAATTAAATATGTGAGAGACCATACATGTTTAAATCTCAAACATTTTCAATAAACCTAAAACTAAAATGAATTTGATTTAATATAAAAAAACCACAACATCATATAAAAACTAATAACCTAAAATCAAAAAAAAAAATTAAAGTCACATGTACCAAAAAATATTGAGTAATATAAAATCATATCGAGTAATATACAAAACTTATCGAATAATTGTATTTTGACTTGGCATCCAAATATTACATACTAACATCCAAAAAATAACAATTTTAAATTATAAACTTAGTTAGAAAATATGAAATTATGAACTACCGATTTAGTTGAAATAGATAATATACATGTATAAATATATATAATATTATATGTATATATAATTTATTAATATATATATAACGGGTACGGAGTGGGACGGGGAGTACCCATCCACATCTCCGATTTAGCGGGGAATCCTCGTCCCCGACCGAGACGGATGGATCGGGTTCCTGACGGGTCGGGCCATTGCCAGCACTATTCTTGCTTCAAGATTATTTGTCGTCGTCCTTCAACACTATATATCTTGAACCTACCTTCAGCTTCTCCTATAAATACCCTGCATTGTCTTAAACCTTTCTTCTCATAACCTTCTTGTTCTACTCTTCAAATATGGCGAAACAATGGGTCTCCTTTTTCGCATTAGCTTTCATCGTTTTTGTTCTTGCTATCTCAGGTGATCTATAAATCTCAATCCATGTGTCGCTTGTTGTCGAAGCTTTAATTAGTATGCTGATTGTAGTCCATCTTTTAGTATATATATTGATGATCGTCTACATATATATATATATATAGGGTTGGGTTCACGTGAGACCCGTGAGACCACATTTTTACACTTGAAACTTCACAACAAAAACATTGTGAAGGTTTAAAAAAGTCGAACCTTCACAGCAAAAACATTGTGAAGGTTACTTCACAGCATTTTGCTGTGAAGTTTTAAGTGTAAAAAAGTGGTCTCACGAGTCTCACGAAAATAGGCTGGTCTCACGTAATCCCAAGTCTATATATATATATATATGTGTGTGTGTGTGTGTGTGTGTGTGTGTGTGTATCCCGCTAGAAAGTAGGGTATCGTTTAGAGGAGACGTATACGTATGCAGTCTCGCACATCAACTTGTGCAACGGTATAATTAAGACATTTAGAAAATATATACGAAGTATGAATAACATAAATACATGTTTGATCAGTCCGTATCGCCTAGACTTGTATCATTTCTCCTGTATATATATGTTGGAACCTTCCTTTCTTTCTCAAAGACTCTTTTGGAGATTGATCTTGTGATTACAACATATTCTTACATGGTATCAAGGACCCAACACTCTCGAATAATCTGTATCCATCTACCCTTCATTGGAGGGGACGTGTCGGAGTCCCACATCGACTAAACTTGGACCATGCATTTATCTTGTATATATGTTGGAACCTCCTCTTTCTCCTGGCTCAGCCTCCAATATATCGTAACCCTAATCCTTGGTGTCCCACACTCGTTGTCCCTAACTTCATACTTATCATTCATGCGTCTGTAAAAACTCCTATATGTCAGAGGTCATGTAGCATGCCTAAAAGAAACTCGATCCAGTTTTTTTGACTTCTGTAATTAACTTAAAAATGTCTACTTTTAGTGGTTTCATTGAGTCGTCTAACGAGTTGTAAATTGCACAGAAACACAAACGGTGAAAGGGGAACTATGCGAGAAAGCTAGCAAGACATGGTCAGGCAACTGTGGCAACACGAAACATTGTGACGACCAATGCAAGTCTTGGGAGGGTGCAGCCCATGGAGCGTGTCATGTGCGCAACGGCAAACACATGTGCTTTTGCTACTTCAATTCATGTGCAGAGGCCGATAAACTTTCCGAAGATCAAATTGAAGCTGGGAAGCTCGCCTTCGAAAAAGCTGAAAAGCTCGACAGAGATGTCAAGAAAGCGGTACCAAACGTCGATCACCCATGAAAGGATCACTTTCCAAAAATAGAAAGTTGTAATTATGATATGAATAAAAATAGGAAGTGTTTGTTAATTGTCACATTGTGAGCTTCTGTAACGAAGCATGACGTGGTCAATCGAGCATTTTCTTGGTAGTGATAAGTGTAATAATGTATTCCCTTATGCTCCTCATGCATGAGGGCTTTCAATCACGTAATAAGTTGAAGGTCTTTTTGGTAATTTCACTTGGTCTTTTTGGTAATTTCACTAATAAATAGCCTTTATATGACTAAGAAGATGTTTGTTTATCTCTTGATAGTTTCATTAAGAGTCAGTTTCTGAATCATCAAGAGATGAACCTTGTTTGACAAAAAAAAAGTATGTCTCTTAATGGTTTCTAAAACCCTCTGAATGATTTTGTATCTTGGACCTCCTTTAACCATTCAGCGCCTTAATTTCGTCATTGTAAACAATTACCAAACAATTATATTTCATTTTGCACCATATCATGAGAGTCTCTTAAATCATTCTAACTACTTAATCATTTTGCACTAAATCATTCAGCAACAAACAAACAGCCCCTAATTTTTTTAACAGAGTTAATATCAATATCATTAAATTATAAACCATCACTTAAAAATAATTAACAGTTAGAAATATTGCTCAAAACCTAACATACCTATTTTTTTATTAAGAAACAAATACTAAAGAAGCATAAAAATAACATATTAACGGGCCATTTACTAAATGCTTACCCGTGTGGTAAGTGCTTACCGGGTAATTTTTCTTACCGGATGAACATGACAAGAGTCAAAAATCTTACCCGGTAAGAACAACGATAAAGATTGAGAGTCTTATTTGGTAAGTGAACGACTCTTACCTGGGTAAGTGCTTACCGGGTAAATTATTGCATACGATACCTTTTTGATGTACTACAATCTTACCCGGTAAAAATAAATTATAATATTGACTCCTAACAGTAAGCGCTTACCGGGTAATTAAACATTTAGGTAAACGGCCCCTTAGTGTTATTTGTGTTTTTAATTGCTAGGATCACTATGCTATGTTTATTATGGATTTGGTCTTTTTGGTATTTAACTTGTTATGGTCATGGTTTTTCTGACTAATACTACTAAAATAAATTGTCCCTCGAGTGCAAAGACAGAAGGGAGCTTGACTGCAATGTGTTAGGCATGCCGCCAGCGTTCATCCTGAGCTAGGATCGAACTCTCCATGAGATTCATAGGTGGATTACCAATTCACTACAAAAATGCAGAGTATCAGCGAGGGAAAATTCCCTCGCTGATCCGTCGCTGATACTCCGTCGATCAAACAGTCGTAGGTAATGCTATCAGCGACGGAAATCAGCGACGGATTTGCGACGGACACTTTCAGCGACGGATTTGCGAGGGAAATCAGCGACGGATTTGCGACGGACACTTTCAGCGACGGATCAGCGAGGGAAGTATTTAGCGACGGATCAGCGAGGGATTTGCGAGGGAACTTTCAGCGACGGATTTGCGAGGGAACTTTCAGCGACGGATTTGCGAGGGAACTTTCAGCGACGGATTTGCGAGGGAATTATCAGCGACGGATTTGCGAGGGAACTTTCAGCGACGGATTTGCGAGGGAACTCTCAGCGACGGATTTGCGAGAGAACTTTCAGCGACGAATTTGCGAGGGAAATTCAAGCACTTTCAGCGACGGATTTTCCCTCGCTAATCCGTCGCTAATTTGTAAAAAATTAAAAAATATTTTTTTTAAAAATACATATATATTAATATATGTACGTATACTTTATTATTAAATGACATATATATTTGATTTTTGGTATTGGTAATCAATGTAATTTTAATTTTACATAAAACGCTTTTATTGTTTTTTACCAAACGGGTTCCCTCATCTTGCCGAGGATTCCTTCCTTAACCTCCCACGGAACTGGTCGGGGTCGAGCACTAGGGATGCATCACCCACCCAATACGCTCCCCTTTTCCATCTCTAACAACAGATGCCATTGAGACCGAATTATATGAGGGAATCAATATAGGACCAGTTAGACCAAACCTAACCTGTTACAAATTTAGAGCCGATAGGTTATAATTTGGACCTTAAAAGACCGGTTATTTCTTATTTTCTTATTTGAATATCGACACTAATTCTCCTAAGATGTCAATGGCAGTGTGCAAATAAATCAAATTTACAGTCGAGATAACAAAACCCATAATTTTTTACTCAACACCACGATATTTACAATCAGAGGCAATTCAACAACACGAAATCAAATAGTGGCCAACAACCAAAACATGACATACGAAGAAATCGCAAGAAGAAACCACGCCACAAAAGCCAAAGCTATGGAGATCTGAAATGTATTACATGATAGTAGGTTGTGTGATCTGCATATATCTGTGTCTTTCACGAACAAAACCATGACTTCAGCTGACGAACAAGCAGCTGCAAGCGATAGAATCGCTGTCACCTGAGTTTCACACATATATATAAACATATGAGTTCAAACTATAACCATAGGGCATGCTCCAAAATGGGATTATATTCATTGGTTTTGTTAATTATGATGGTGTTTAAAAGTCATATAAAAAGTGAGAGTAGCTGCTAACCCAGTCACCAACCACAAGAAGGCTCAAGAAGATATGATTGTGCAGATCTTTCTTTAACCTTAGTGCATGGATATCAAGGCAGGCAAGTCCAAAACTCCACAACACTTTGTAGTCCCATTGCTGCAATTAGATAGCTGAAATTAAAAATAAAACAACAGATTATGATCAAGCTATATATATATACCAATCAATCAGACAGACAGACAGTGGATACATAATGCATCAAAGAACAATTCTTTATACCAACAAAATCTAGTCAAGGGCTTATTCATTCTTGGTTTCATGCACACACAAACACACACACACACACACAGAACAATTCTTTATACCAACAAAATCTAGTCAAGGGCTTATTCATTCTTGGTTTCATGCACACACAAACACACACACACACACACACTAAATCAAGAACAATCCAGATTAGGATACTCTTGAAATTAGATAGCACAAAAGGCTGCTATAAATGCAAAATGTTCTTTCCAAAATTATAAATTAAGCATTTTAGAAATTCATAAGACCATTTTAGATCTAAAATTTTCAATTTTGAAAAACTGTAGACACACAGACATTGGTC